CATTTTAGTGTACATTTTCTGCTGGAAAGCAGTGGCTATTTTGGGGTTAGTTTTTGAAATAGCTCTGAGCAGATTTTAAAATGATGTTCAGCTATAATTGTAAATTACTCCTGGCAGAACTTGTGCCTAGTCAGCTATATAAAGGTTAAATCCACCTTTTATACTTTCAACGCTGCAATCATTTTAGATTAAATGCTTTTTTTTCTCTTCAAGTACAACCCCACCTACTTCATGTCATTTTCATGCTATAAAATTATTCTTGACTCCCTCAGACTTTAGTCTGGTCCGGTTGGTTACGGTTTAGTTCTTCCACTTCATTTTCACACTTTCCTTCTGTCTAGAGTAGTTTTTTTCTCTATGAGAATCATGTTCCGTAATGGAACAACATACAGTAAATTGCAGATATACATTATATCTTTGTGGACAACAGACATCACTATACCTGGGAACTTGACAGAAATCACCAGGCAATTATGGAATTTTGTTCACATTGCCTGGTCATTACTGGATCTGTTAAAATCTCTAGTTGTCTACCTGACTCCGCCATTGAGACAAGCACAGGAAGGGGTGGCAGTTATGAGCAGCCCCAATAGTGACAGCATTCTTTACCATTGATGAACAGGCGAACAGGCTGCCTGGTATTGGGAGGTTGAGAATGGAACATAGTAGGACAAAGTTCAGGTCACTGGAGTGAGGAAGATTGGTCGGAGGGAGGAGAACAAGAAACCAAGAAGGGGTAGGGTGGCCTTCCATAGGCAGTTAGAAGCCAAGGGAACTCAAAGCTATGAAGACTGCACAGAGGTTTCTGTAGATATAGCCATATACCCCTGCACTTTGTATGTTACTCACCCCAGGCCCCTGCAACAAGTGCATTAGACCACTGCACTATATACCTCACCCAACCTAGACCCTTGAACAATGTACGTTACCCAACCCAGACCGCTGCACTGTGAATATTACCCAACTCAGATCCCTGCACTATGCATGTTTCCCCAATCTGGACCCCTGCACTGTGTACATTACATATTTCTGCCTCCTGCACTCGTACATAGGCTCAAGTTTTAATCCCCTCCCACTGATAGCAAAAATGTGATATGCCCACCATGCAACTCAGCATGGTACAAGTGGTGCTGTTAGCCTCATCCTCCACTCCACTCCCCTACCCTGCCCCCATTTCCAGGAATTCTGATTTTCAATGGTTCCTGGGTTTGGACTTGTTGAACATCCAACTGAACATCCTATTGCAAAAAAGTGGGCATTATGTGGTTATCCACACTCCCCTCTTTTGTACAACAGCATCCACTTTCCTGGGGCATGTCTGTGGGAATTTGTGCCCATTCTGCCAAAAGAGCATTTGTAAGGTTAGATATTGATGTTGGACAATGAAACCTGGCTTGCAATTAGTGATCCAATTCATTTAAAAGGTGTTTCAGTGGGGTTGAGGTCAGTGCTCTGTACAGGACACTCAGGTCTTTCCACAGCAGACTCATCAAAAACTTTCTTTATGGATCTGGTTTTGTACAGGGACAGTCATTCCTCCCAAAACATTTTCCTCGTATTTGGAAGAGCACAATTGTCTAAAATGAGTTTGTATGTTGTAGCCTTAACAGTACCCTTCACCAGAACTCAATAATTTGGAGGCTTTGCCACAAGCTTTTGGCTGTATGATGTAACAACTACTACCAGGCCTAGGATCCAGAGGAGCCCAGATTTGACTGATATTCATGAATGTTATTATTTTCTGTCTCCAGGGTCACTGTGATGCATTTTTGAATTTAGACCAAACATTACTTTTAGATTGTAAGCTCTAACGAGCTGGGCCCTCATCTTGTATTGAATCATATTGCAACTGTACTCTATGCCTTCATTTTGTAAAGTGCTATGAAAACTGGCACAATATATATCCTGCATAGTAATAATTATAATTACTGTTAGGTACCCATCATTTTTGTAAAAATGAACTCATCAAAGGCATTTAGGATTGCTTAGGTCTAATCAAGTGAATATGCTGTTTCTTCTGGTTTCTAGAGTATCATGAAGCAGCCTCACAATCCACTTTAAAAATCTTGGTGAACCTTTGTCCTGCTGAGCCTTTTTACTTCTTTATTAAGGTGGCTATTCTTCCCAATACTCCACCTTGATCTGCTTTCCTCAATAGAAGGACAAGAGCATTTTTTTCTGTCATTATCCTGGGATAGCATCTACTTTCTAAATGAAATTCTGGTTTAGAGGTGACACAGTCATGTAAATTCAGGTGTCTGTGCATTTTAAAGCCATGATTTAAACCCCTGCTACGCTTTCATCTTGAGTAATTGCTGCAAAGTCGCTATAATTATGCCCCCCCTAGGTTTAGTTGGCCCCCGCCACCTCAGTCGGAGCGGTAAATGGATAAAATGGCCATTACAGGGGGGAGGAGAAGGTGGGTCAGAAAAGAAAAAAAGAAAAAGAGAAGGGAGATGGAAAAAAGGAAAACGAAGAGCGAAGAAAGAAAAAGCGGGGGGGGGGGGGGGGGGGGGGGTAGGGGGGTCTATGCCCCGACCGCATCGAGCCCACCCACTGTGACGGGGACTGAATAAAGATTGGAGTGTGGTAATGAGGAGATGTGCTTAAGTGGGAGGGTCCCCCCGTAAGCGTGCGCACCACCTAAATTTTGTGGTGCCATCCACGCCCGCTTAAAGGGGCGGCAATTGGCAAAAGACCCCAGCAAAGGGGAGGGGGCGGCCGCCGGTGTGGGTAGTCGGGCGGTTGCATAATGGGCACTCCGCTGTCCGCCCTGTGCAAGCAGCTGACAATTGGACCCCTTTTCCCCATTACTAAAATCACCATCAATGGGCTTTGTTTTATGCTGTGGTGGGATGAGGACGGGTGAATGGAAGGGCGAAATGTTGGGGAATCATTCTTGGTAGAGGAAACAGCTAATTGGGTCCACAAGGAGGGGATGTCAGTGGGGCGGGGGAGGCGCCACTTGATGGGCTGAAAAGAGGGGGATAGAGGGCAGGAGGAGAATAGTACATGATAGAAAATGTTCAAAGGGAAAAATAAAAACTAGCATTGCATGCGCGCGGAGGGGAAGTGGAAAAAAGGGGGGGGGGGGGGGGGGGGGGGGGGGGGGGGGTTTGGGGTTGGGGGGGGGGGGGGGGGGGGGGGTTTGGTTAGGTGTGTTGGTTTGTGTTTTGTTGTGATGTGGTTTATTTATTTAATTTTATTTTTTTTTTAAATTGTTGGAGAGTTGGGGTAGAATTATTTTAGGTACTACAGAGATTTTGTTTATTGGGAGAATATATTAGGTGGGGCTCATTTGTTAAAAAGGGTGTATTTAGGTTTAATGTTTTTAGATGGGTGTTTTTTTTTTTACATTATTTGTTTGATTATCTAAGTTAGGTTTTTCGGGTTGTTGTTTGATTTGTTTTTTGTGTGTTGTAAAAAAATGATTTTTATTTTTTATAGAAAGAGAACAAAAGGTTTTAGGGGAGAGGGGGGAATACTTTAAAATTTGAGGAATAACCCTTTATTGATATAAGTAATAGACAAAAAGGAGATTGAGGATCTCACTCTGCCTGTTTTAATAGGACCTTCTTGGAACGTATAAGTTAAATAATTAAATATATTAAAGGAATAGAAAAATGACAATCAGTTGGGAACATTGGGTGACGCAATGGATATAAGAATAAAAGATATTTATAAAGACCCCCCCTCCGCCCTCCCCCCCACTAACATATAGCGAAAAACACCAGCCTCAACCTAACAATTCCTATATAAGTCCCAAAATGAGGAAAATAAAAAGTAACCTAAAAATAGGTTCCTTACCAAAGTTTGACTTTACCCCACTTAATTGTGCCTAATTAAATACCCCGATACAAAACACTAATAATTAACAAAAGGTTATCTCCACTCGGTCCTCCTATCTGGTCTATATAAAAAAAAAAAATTAATAAAAATTCTTCAGTTTCTCTAAAACATGCTGTCACACCCCCCGGTGGGCCCATCCGATACCTTGTTCATAAAATAATATTATAACCTGATTATTGGTTGTGCGGGAAGTTGAATGTTAAATAATATTATGACGCCACCTGTACACACCCAGTATGGTGGTTAAAATTCGGGTGTGGCTCTCATTAGCAAGGATTACGCCACACCCCCCCCACACCCTACAAAAGAAATAACATATAGTAGTCTAGTATAAAAAAGATACTAATAAATAAATAATTCATCGAATGAATATTAATTGTGATATTTTTTAAGGATAATTCACAGAGCCTCAAATATCTGAAAAAAAAAAAAATTATAATAAAAATAATAGTACAAACTTTCCTTAATCAAAAAAATAAATTATAGATAGAGACATTTAATTGATGCAAATAGAGATCATCGAAAATAAATTTCTAGCTCAGACTCCATCCTGTAAAAAATGGTCTACTGAATTAATTAAATCACAATGATATAGATGCTTCATTCAAATGCTCTTAACATTAAATTTAGATATTAGTAGTGTGTAAGAGTAATAATGAATAAAAGTGAGAGAAATGAAATCATCTGCAATTATTGTACATAATAGGTTTATTGCGGTAGAGTGCATTTCTGCATACATAACATAGTTAGTCAAAAGTTACTTTTTTTCTCACTTCATCATAGTTTGACTTGTTAAAAGTAGTACAAACAATTGTCATTTTTTTAAATTAAACTTTTTATAAAAACCTTTTTTACAAATTGGTTGCATCTCAGGGTTGCATGTCTCATGAAGCTCTTTTGCAGCTACTTACCATTCTGCATAATGTGTGTTGAAATGGCCACTTGTAGTCTCCATCAAAAGCCTGTGTGACAGGGTGACAATGCAAGTGCATAACTGGGAGACAGGAACAGAGCACTACCCTAAAATAGGATGTGCCTGCACAATCACTTTCATGGTAGGATCACTGAGGTGTCTATTTAAAAAAAAATGTCTTAAGCTTTCACCCATCTGTGACAAATTTTCCCCATTTTTTTTCTAATAGGACTAAAGCCTTGTACGCAGGGGCGGACTGACCATTTGGAAACTCGGGCAATGCCCGAGGGCCCAGGGTCAGTAGGGGGCCCCATGAGATGCCCCTGGTACCTTTTTCATAGGCTTTTTTGAGTTTTGGCAAGGACACAGGGGCCCCATGATCCCTTTTTGCCTGGGGCCGCATGAGTTGTCAGTCCGCCCCTGCTTGTTCGCCTCATAGTGCAAAAACATCGTTTTTTCTGCATGCATTCTGCAAGGGCACAAAAAAATAATTGTTCTCTATGTGCCCTGTTCACACCACAACACTAGTATCACATGCAGATTTTTTCTGCGCAAGAATCTGCAACATGTATAAAACTCACCGAAGAGTCCATGAAAACTGATGTAAACTGATGTCTCTACAAGTGAAATCTGCCCATCAGTTTCCATCAGTTTTTATGCACGTATGGTGTAAACGAGCCCTAATAGTTCTACCTAGTGGCTATAATGGGATATTTTCCTGATATAGGTATTTCATAAAAATACTGTATTATGACCCACAAGATGGTGATGATGATAATAGGAAATAATCATATTAGACACAATTCAGGGACAATTCAATATGGAGAAAGCTTGTGACCTCTGTCCAGCATTTTCTTTTTACAAATAGCCCCTTTAGTTTTTTTAGGTGTTAATGAAAGATGCAAATTAAAAAATATTAGCAGTTAGTTTTGAAATCATATTAACACGGTATATCGTATATGATATTTTATTGATTAGGCTTACTTGTAATTTAACCATAAATGCCTAGTTTAAATTCAACCCCCTACATCCAAATCCCTGCAATGTAGCTGCACTAAAGAGTACTGAATAAAAAAAAAAAAGCGCCTATTGTTCAAAGATAAAGCTACTCAATAAACAACATGTGGTGTACAATATGACTGGATGAAGGACGTACTTATGCCCTTTTAAATATATAATGTTTCCATTTCATTCTAAACATTTCTAAAACTGCCAAAATTTGAATTGTAGCGACCATATCAACACTACCAGGTTTATGATGAGATTTCCAATAATTCATATCCCCTTTCTATGTAATTGGCTCATTTCAAGCTCTGCACAGAACTTGAGTTCAAATTACAGGCAACCCCGGCAAGGATTTCTGGTCTGTTTTTAACGTCAGGTTAGAAGGGTGAACCAGGTGAATTACTGTCATAGTAAATTTTAGAACATTTGCTTGTCTCTACTCCTAGGTCATCAGTTTATTTTTTGTTATATTCAAAAGACTTGAATGGTTGCAAAAACATGAACACCATTATTGCAAATACACTCAGGGGAATTCATAAAAAGCATCTAAGACACTCATTAGAATTCTTCCACGTGCCAAATGTTGGTGCAGGCAACAAATTCATGTGCCTGTTGTAAATAGCTCAAAAATCAGACACGTGCACCACTTGCAGAGGCACGCTGAGGTCTGAGTATCCATACAGACATTCCATCCTCAGTGCAGCTGACCTCACTCCTGCTGAGGGTTTTGAAGCTATGCAGGCAAAACCTGATGGGGATTCACATCAAGTTAGCTCCCTCTATGCCTGACAGCAGGTGCTGAGTGGATACATAGAAAATACACAGCCTGCTATTAACTTCAGAATCTGCCCACTTCCTGCTGTCAATCACAAGAAGAGAATAGACCTGATGTGGAATTAGTCCCATTACTGTGCGACCAATGTCAGCATCACTGGTAGGTAGGAGCCTATTGGCTGTGAAGCTGACTGTGTCTTTAATAACAAGCGGCAGCTAGGGAGGGGAGGGAGTAGCAGAATCTTGCTCAAAAATTGTCGTTTTTGGTGCGGGATCGTATGACCACTTTGATGCTCAACGAACAGATGTCGAGTATCCGCAATGACTCCCAACATAAATTTTTGAAAATATGGGAGCTGTGGTTGCAATATGCCTTTCCCACACTCTCCCCGGCTAGTCTGGGGATGTAATGGCGTTCGGTATTGGCGCTCTTGGACCCCTGCCCCTTGCCCCTCCCTTTTTTTTTTTCTCTTTCTTTTTCTTCCCCTCTTTCTTATTTTTTCATTCTCTCTCTGCTTTGGTGTGACTGGACTGCTGCATTTAGTTGTTATAGTCAGTTACAGTAATGTTTAGTAACTTATGTGCCATTGATAGCCTCTGCGTGGGCGTACCTTTTGCCGTGTTGGCATTAGAGCACCGTTTTTCCTTTTTTTTTTTTATTTTGCATTTTTTTTATCTGTGCAATTGATAGCCCCTGCGTGGGCGTGTTTTATTGCCTCTCTTTTATACTGTTTAAAAATTAATAAAAACCATTGAAATAGAAAAATTGTCGTTTTCAGAATGTTCATTTGATTATCTAAGAGTTAAGGGGGACATTTCTACATTCAGTTTTGACCATAATTAGCTAAAGAAATCAAAGAAAAATTATGATTTTTTTTTTTTTTTTGCCACACACACACAGTGCAATGCCTTCCAGGACCCTACAACAAAAAATAAATAAATGCACATTTTTTTTTTACCCGCAAAAAAAAATGTGCATTTATTATTTTTTGTTAAAAGGTGAACTTATCCATTAAAAACCATCTAAATATGCCAAACATGTTGGTAAAGCTACCAAACCTGGCACAGGGCCAAACCATCAGAAAAAGTGTTGTGAGGGCATACCTAATTGTTTCATGTTTATTTAAAATGATTTCCCATGATGACATTATAAATAATTATTAATGTTATTACTGAGCAGACTATATATATCATGTATATTGGTTGCATAGCATTGCTATTTTGGTTCAGAAAAGTGCAGTTGACTGCAGTTCCATAAAAGAATGCGGTGATTTATATAATTCAATAGTAAGTAAAGTGCAAAGTGTCGATAATGGGTGTAAGTACTGCGAAGAACTGCTATACAAACAAGTAATAAGTGCTCTGAGCCATGTAAGTGTACACTACTGCTATGGATTAATGGTATTTATTCAGAGGTTGGAGATGAAATGAGAATGCTTTTGAAGTACTGTAAATGAACAGTGACACAAAACAATAAAATAGGATTCTTCTTAGGGGACACGGCTGCGTTGGTAGTTTTTTTTACTATGCAACATTAAAACAAGCATGCATACTGCACTGTACATCATGCAAAAAAGATTTTTATCTTTCATAAGCTCAAATGTTTATGAGTCAAGAGTACAGAAAAAAAGGTATCTGCGACTTTTATTGAATCTTAAAATAACACCAAGCATAGCATACTGTAAGGGCACAAATAGCATTTTAGCTATTGGAAATACACAAAGAAAATTGTAGCTGGAGTACTGGGTAAAATGTATTGGCAACACTCCAGAGACAGAATTTAATAATACACATGATTAAATATACTTTGTGTTCTCATTGTTATTACTTGCTTTAAAGTATGAGCATTAGGGAGTGCAAATCTTCTGACCAATTCATGTTGCCAGTAAATGTCCCTTCCTTTCAAGAACAGTGAATAATAGCAGGTGTTCTCAAGGCCTGTAGGTGCTAACGCATTTAAAAATTCAGTTTCAAACATGAGAAAAGGCTTTTGTAGTCGGGCATTATGTCAAACAATTCTTTTACATATGCTCAGAGCACTTATAATGCGGGTGGTTGAAGAAGCTCACCCTAGTGGTTGGGATTTGCCTATTACCAATATGTTTCTGCTGGAGGACTATCTTCCCTATCAGGCAGTTAAAGTGTTTGTAAACCTCAGACATGGAATATGAACAAGGCATATCTCTTTGTAGTGTGTACCTGTCTAAATCCAGAGCATTAAGTATCATTTTTGTCTGATGCCCTGTTCCTCTGCTATATGACAAGTTTTTCTGACACCAAAAGAAACAAGGTGACGGGATGTATCTCTAGCAGTCTCTGTGTATCTCCTGAGGCCAGTCACTTTATTGGGTACAGGTAAGTGTTTACAGCCACGTTAAGGATAATCAGTAACCTAGTCACTTATCTCTGGGTTCAACACAGCTTCAGTGATTTCAGGGAAACATTTACTTGGAGAGGCTTTTCAAAGGCTCCAGGCAACTGCCAACAGGGCAACACTGAGACCCTTGAAACAATAGGGCACAAGGTTTACAGTATATTTTCAGAAGAAGGGGAACCCATGCACTCCATACCACAGTGGTGGAAAACTATTGGTAGACCAACTACCTCATTCTGAACCAGAGCCCACAATGGTGCTTGCCGCTGGTGAACACACTTGTTAATGCCTGGGGACACAAGCACTTTGTACATGAAGCACTTCACTGTTGAGCTCTTTCCACACGTCACTGTACACCCTCTCCTCTCTTCATGAATGCAACATTTGTGAGGGAGCATCACAGAGCATGCGTCCTGCCAGGGGCAGACTTACAACTCATGGGCCCCCGGGCAATAGGTAATCATAGGGCCCCTGTGTCCTTGCCCACACTCAAAAAAGCCTATAAAAAAGGTACCAGGGGCATTTCATGGGGCCCCCTACTGACCCCGGGCCCTCGGGCAGTGCCCGAGTGCTCAAATGGTCAGTCCGCCCCTGTGTCCTGCTCACCATTGCAGCCATGGATGCTATCTCACTCCCTGTGACAATGTGAGCTTTCTGCCAATCATCCAACACAACCTCTGCTGCTAATGAGCTCTAACACTTTACTTGGATCTACTTCTAGCTTTCTCTCTCTTCTTGTACCTCCAGGCTAGGTCCCTAGGTTCCCTGTGCCTTGATATATAGGTCCTGTGCAGGGGTAATGATCACTAGGAAGGGGGTCGAGCTCATCCACCCCCTCACTACAAGGGATACCATTTTCCATGCCAGGTACTAACCTCCCACTAGCTGCTATACCATTCTGCACCATTTCACTGTTTACTCATAGCAAAGGCAATATAGGCATGTGTCTCGCCAACTCCTCTGCACAATTAACCCTTCCATGGTGGCCCTCTAGCATCTCCTCTTCATCCCTTTTTTACAAGCCCTGTTCTTGTTACACCATGCATGCACCCCTTTTTGGAAAGAACCTCAGACCAGACAGTTAAAAGTTAACAACACCTCTTGCAGATACAGTCAATTGAAATAGTCTAATATCAACATAGATGTAGCTCAAAACATATAAAAACACTGTTAAATAATAAAGCCTATATAATTTTAATAAATGAGTTTCATTCTTGGGCATTTTAATACAGAAGGTTTGGCACAGACAGAAGAGGGATAATAAGTGCCTTTTGGGGCCTTGGTGTAATATTGGGGTCAATACTATGAAGTGAGCGTTTAATAAATAGCACTGGGTGGCTGCATGCACCCATGGAAGTATAAAGAGGAATATGCATTTACAGCACATTGGTGGTGGACAGTTTATGACTGGAGTATATGGACATTATTATTTATCTGTGTTTTTATATGTTTTGTGCTACATTATGTTGTTATATTTGTTATCTGAAGTGTGGTGAAAACACTTTTGATGTTTAGCGGCAATTTAAAAATAATTGAGCTGGGTCATATTCACAGATATTTCACAGATATCTTTCAGCATAACCCTTTCCTTCCTACGCCAGGTTGCCCCTGCTTGTACCTCTCCATGTTGTGAAGATCACTCACAGTCTGTTTACTCTTCTGAGGAACCCAGATTAAATGCATACTAAGGAAGGGGGGCAGGCACTCTTTTGAGAGAAGGTCATTACATGAAGCCTCATTCATGCTTGCTTTTTCCCAGGTAAGCTCAGAGGTCACCTCTGCTTGTAATTATAAACCACCACAAGAGGACGAGACTGTGAATACCCAGGAGTTGGTACCTTAACCCCTTCCTGACGCCTAGGCAACCTGTTAGCTATTCTCCAAAAATAAAGAATACTTTATTTTTCCACCGCACTGTAAGCACCTGCTTACATGCTAAGCACCTTTTCTACTCTTCTCTCGCTCTCATTCTCCATCCCATCCCCTTACAGATATGGAATGTCCATTTCAGTTTAGATTACATTTTAACAGTTTTACTTTAGAATAACTTAATATTATTCTTCACAAATAAGCTTTTCCAATATGGTGGCTTAAGCATGGGTGTCCAACCTACGGCCCTCCAGCTGTTGCGGAACTACAAAACCCGTGAGACACTGCAAGTCTGACAGTGGCAAGCATGACTCCCAAAGGCAGAGGCAGCCCTCTTTCTGTAGTTCCGCAACAGAAAGAGGGCTGCAGGTGGATACCCATGAAAATCTTAGGGTACGTTTCAAAAAAATGAACATCCTTCAGAATTGCTAGTGCTCAGGTGGTTGTGGTGTCATGGGTGCTCAGTTAGTCTCTTAAAAAGGTGAAAACTCTGTCCTGTTCATCCCCAGTAGACTCTCCGGAACTAAGGGTAAAATCCTTAAAAGCACGAGTACTTACAGCTTTCTGCAGTCTCTATTCTTTTGTTGTTTGGGGTCCTCCTGTTTCCCACTAAAGGGAAAGTCCTCACGTAAGATACGTCTGTACCTAAAATCATGGCTACTAGTCTCATTCTCTTTCCTACAAAAAGACTGCAGTTCGTTGGGAAGCAAAACAGCAAACCTTCCATTTCACATGATGATGACTATCGTCTCTGCTTTTCCATCCAGAACTCCTGTTCTGTTATTGTTATATCATGTTCATGCCAAAATGACTTCTGCCAAATGATAAAGGCAGCAATAGGTTGTGGTTGACCAACAACGCCAATACATATCATTAGGACCTTCTGCTTCTAAAGGAAGCAGGTCAAAGGCAGTTTCAGAACTGACATCCACACAACAACACTAAAGTAAATAGGAATCTGCTTACCTGTGACTGACTTGCAGTTCAAGCAACCTCCATCTAAACATACCCTTACTCACCCAGTTTTCACAGCATACTAATAAATATGGCAAGAGGAGCTAAGGATGGAGTGCAGCTGATACATTTTTCGTATTTTCTGGTAGGGAATTCGATTTTATCAATTGTTGTTACCCCTTGATTATACCATTTACAGGGATCATCGAGACTAAGTTCTTCATTCAGTCATTCCATGTTGAAATATATAGGAACCTGGGAAAGTATCATACTCAGCAAAAGTTTAAACTGTCTCTAGAAAAGGAAAACCAAATGGAACCAAATGCATACCAAGAGTTTTTGAAGAAACGTAAAAGTGTATGTTAAGGCTTTGCCCAAATTTACCCCCAAACTTCACTCTCCCCCTCTAACTAATGTCCTAGCATTTCTTTCTTCCTTTACCATAAGTATGTATTGAGAGACACCTTTATTCCTCTCTGTACATAAGACCTCTGTAGATTACACATAGTTTTCCTGGCCAGCCTCATATCGGCACACCTGGGTTTACTCCTAGGTGTGATGACTTGAGAACCGACCAGGAAAGGAAAATTAAGGTAAGTATTGGTAACAATTTTCTGTTTTCCTGACCTGCCTTATGTCAGCACACGTAGGAGTAAACCCAGGTGTGCTGGCTTGAGGACTGGCCAGGAAAGGAAAATTATGGTAAGTATTGGTAACAATTTTCCGTTATCCTCACATTGGAGGTTTACAGATAATTTTAGAATTGTTTTAACCCACACATTATAGATGAAGTAGTAATTGTTTATTTTAGTCTATGTTGCTTCACTTTTAAGTTTTGTGTACCTTCAAAGAGCACACTTTGGCATGTGCACATTTTTTTTAGAGTTTGTTGCTTTTGTGTGCTGATAACAACTTTAGCATTACTTGTAGCATTACCCCCTTAGGAGTTGCTGAAGATTATGGTCCCCCTATAGTCCAGCCGCTCTTAAGGGCCACCCTGGCCCCATGCCAAGCCCCCTGCTTGGGGATTGGCCAGGATTCCTCAAGTGTGCAGGCCAGCTCCTCCTCTCCCCCGCCCATTGAGTTCTACAGACTTCTTCAAGTGTCTAGATCAGGAGGTATCAGTGAGCTGATCTGCAGAGCCTCTCAACCCTGACCTGAATTTGACCCCTTTTACTATCACCCAGGCTGCTACTCAACCCTCTATCTAATAAAATAATTAGCTAGCTCCCCCTTGCTAACTAGGAGGGTGCTACATATTTTTACAGAAAACATTATTTGAATAAACATGCAACTGCTGAATTGTACAATACATTTTTTTTTCATTCTATAAGTCCCGCACCTTTAGAAAATACAGGTTTTAGAGGATCTTTCACAACCCTTCAAGTCTGCAATGGGCATGTGAAAAACTACAAATCTGGATCAGCAGCTGGAGCTGAAAAGTGGCATTCCAAGGGTTAAACCTGAATACTCATGAATAATAAAGGAGAGGGAAATCCTATGCTGGTGTTTATTTTATTTTTAAAGCAGTTTATATCTCCAAATCCTTTGATATTCTCAAAAAGCTTCTATGAAAACTGGAGAATATGGGAACAAAAACTAGAGGTATATCTGCAAGTGGTGCTTGTAAGTACCCAAAGGAAAAGAAAATAGCATATCTACAGCACAGCATAGGTGAAGAAGGATTAGAATTGTATTACAGCAAACAGCAAGCTGCAAACATGAGAGAGTTGTTGCCAGCATTTTAAAAATATAGCAATCCGAGAAAAATCAGCATGTTTCAAAGATGCCGGTTGTGGTCCCACTGAACATCAAACTAGCAAAGACACATTCCTGACTAAGCAATCTACACTGTAAATTTGAAAACACTAAAAGTTTAATTGGTCAAGATAAAATTATGCCAAACATTATCAATACTTTTGTTACCTTATCTCACCTCAGACTTAACCAGTAGTAGACCAAGTGTAGGCAACAGATGAACGCTCAATACACACACCACTCTTATTAAAGTGGCATTTTACCTATAGCAACTTGAAAAAAATATGTTTTTTATCAAGGAACATACATTCCACATTATTAATTATGCCACCAAAATTGGTGTGTGCTGTAAACTGCCAAAATTGCTCTTTTTTCTTCTTGACGGAGACAGACATTTTGCTGAAGCCCAGAGCAGCCTCTTTCATATTGAAAACTGTCTCCATTTCCTTAGACTCAAAAACTATGTCACTTTCTGCAATTAAAATGTGTGCATTTGCAGCCTTGATTGTATTTCTTGGCTCAGCTACAGAGGAAGGCTGCAGTAACTGAAAGTGATCCCACTGCCTAGGGAAAAAAGGAGAAAATATCAGGGAAATAAGATATTTTAATTGTAAGTCTAAGGCTCCATGCACACGGGGTGTTTTGATAACACTGGTAACGTTAGCTGTGTAAAGTCTCATTATAAACATCAGTTTTTCAGCTCTTACTAGTGTTTTTTCATTAGATTTAGCAGCATTTTGCCGTGTTTTATCGGTGTTTTGCCGCATTTGCATTTTTTAGTGTAGTTTTTTGGGGGTCAAAAAAAGTCCAAAAATGTCAGTTTACAGCTCAAAAACTCTTCTAGAAACCCACTGGTCCTGGGTTTTTTTCCAGCTAAAAAACATCCCTGCCAAAAAACGTTGATTACAGTCTATGTGTGTATGGACACATAGGATAATATGCTTGCTGTACAAAAAAGTCCAAAGCCAAAAACAGCAGCTGTAAAAATTTCCAGTGTGCATGAGGACTCTTTTGTGTCTCCTTGACAGCAGAGTTTGTCCTTTCATTTTCATTTTCCTAATCTATCCTTTCCTTGGCACAGTCGGTGTCATTTCTGTTGCATTCTCCCCTCTTAGCAGCAGTAAATCTGGGGGCTGTCAGTAGATATCCGTGTAGTTAGTAGTGTAGTTGGAGTACTGTAATCTATCAGGACTTTTTCTGACTAACGTTCCACTTTAAAGCACATCTGTAGCTGAAGCTAGCCATAGCAGCATTTGCCAAATTGTAAATTGTAAAGTTCTTCCTGTGCTTGTGTGGGTTCCCACCACACTCCAGAGACATGTTGGTGGGTTATTTGGCTTTTTTTCTAAATCAGCAATATTATGTGTACTGTATCTATGCATGTGATGTAAGGACTTTGGATTGTTAACCCCTTGAGGACAGGGACTAATGTGCATGTACAATATATGTAACGTGCTATATATTTTTGGTGCTATATATGCCTGTAATGAAAAAAAAATAAAATAAAATCAGCTATGATGAGGGGGGTACCCCCTTGAAGTGTATAAGCCATCTTGCACCACTGATGCAGCACCCATGTTGGATTTGAAAGTCAGAGCTTTGTGCCTATTGGCCGGAGAGACTTTGGATTTCATGAGATATGAGTTTTTACCTACTACTTTTGTAAGTACAGGATATGTATCTGAATAAAATTTATAGAGGATCTTACACTATGCTGGTGCACTGTCTGTTCATTTTTCAATAAAACGAGTGCATCAAAATACAGAGAAATCTTGAAGAGAATAATAAAACCCTGGGGGAAAATATGTCTTCCTGCAAGACAATGGGACCAAACCTGGGGCCAAAACGACATATGAGTAGCATAAAAACAACAATGCTAATGTTTTTAAATGGCCACGTCAAAATTCAGTACAATTTCCATGCAACCTCACAGAGCTGGAGCAATTTTGCTTTGTTTCTTCTATGTTCCCTCCATCACCATTAGTACTTTGCAGAGCTAGGGCTTAGGAAAGTCCTTGTCTTCTTACACTACCCCCCAACAGGGTAGTGTGCTAACCTTATAGGTAAGTAAGAGAACCAAAACATTTGCTGGAAGAGATGGTTTGATAATAAAGTTGGTAGTGCCTCCACCCAGGACATGATCTCTGTTAACCTTTCATCCTGGGGAAATTAACCAGCCATCTAAAAGTAATTAGGATCAGAGGAAGTGCTGTAACCAACATATAACATTAATTCTAAGTATAATGATGCACACCAGTATGGAAATAATATAGGCTTTATTTAAGAAAAGATTAACGATAGTACATACATCCAATGTACAAACAGGTATTAACAGCAAAGGGCCCAACAAGAGTCCTGGTGGAATTATGCACATATACCCAGGTAAATATAGTTTATATTACAGATACTTCCTGATGAATGTTGCAGCAAAGTTCGAGTCTCTGGGCCCCTGAGGATGTTCATGTTGCAGCATCCATCTTTGTGTCTGCTTCCAGAAGACAAGATCAGCGGTGGTGGGAAGATCCTCCAACTGTTATCCAACCATCGTGGAATGCAGCTTCTCCCATGCAGAAACTGTGGCATGGCACTGGTACTCAGAGTCAGCCTATCTGCTCTGGGCTTTAGTCCCTCCCTAGTAGTTTCTAATCTGACATGCAGTCAGCCCTCTAACTACCAGAAGTGGGCATCAGATGCCTAAACTGTCCCTAGCCTATGTTGGTTATCAGGCCCTAAGCTAAATCTAGCAATAAAATCCTAGACGAGAAAGGATAGGGTTAGCTAAATTATTAGGAGCTGCATAGAAACAATTGAGTACTGTCCGTGTTTCTGTCGCAAATGCACTAATACGGCTACAATCACCTCAGGAGCTGCATATAAACTCTATTGGAATATTAATATGCTGGAATGTGACCACTACACACATACAGTGCACATAACTAGTTATCTGGCACTGTGCATGAGAGATACTAACAATAGGGCAGAGACTTGTCTGTCACTAAGATTCAAGAAGTTATGGGCAGTTACAGTTAAACATCCAGAACACTTACATAATAGTCTCTGCTTCTGGTTCTGGATAAAAAACAGTAATACAGTTCCTGTATGTGGAAATGTGGGGTCAGCTCATCTTTCTCTCTCCCTCTCTCCTCTTCCTCCTTTTGGCATTTTTAAGCCATCCCTCCAGAGAGAAGAAGTGCTAATACATAGGTGGAAGTAGCACTGGTCTGATGCTGCATCTGTCCCCCATCGCCGAGTTCTCACAGCCACTCTGAGCAGTGAGCGGTGACTTTCAGTCACCACTGTCTACTCTGCCCCCCCTCCTCGTGCTCACTGGAGCGCTGGGCTGTGGAGGGGGAGGGAGTGGCTGGCTCAGGCTCTCAGCAGATCACTGAGAGGCTGAGCCTGCTGCCGCTCCAAACTCTGGGGTGGATCCTGACTTTAAAGTTGGGATTTTTCCCTACCCTGGACCAGCTGAGTGATGTCAGCCAACAGCGGGCTTCAGCCCATTGTCAGCTGAAAATGCATCACAGGAATGCAGACAGAACTGCACTCCTTTGATCCACAGGAGAAGTACAGCCCAAAGAGCTTTGGCTGTACTTCTCCTTTAACTGTGATGTAAAAGAGTACCTTTCTGTTGGTCAGTATCAAAAAAATACAACTGAATCTGTTGTGATTCAATGTTTTGTTACAGAATGTGAAAACTTTCTGTTGGGTGAATACACTTTTTAAAGAAAAAGTTTGGAAAAGAGCACATTGAAATGTAACATATAATATGATTTTGTGCTCTGTAAAAGTACGCTGTTCTCTACCTTTCCAGGTACTGTGGCATTCATTGCTAATAAAGAATAACTATGTGCAACAAAATACAACAAAATAGAACTTCTAATTTGGTAGTGTTTAAACAGCTCTGACTTTCCATGCAAACTCTTTTCTGCAGAAATGATTCAGGAAATTTCACAATTATACTTTACAGTTTTGCACTGTGCCTCTCTCAGGGGACAGCATGTCCATCTATGACAGCGGTTGTTAAAATCTTTATTCATCTCTCAGACACAATGTTTCTGCTTAATAATGTCATTTTTCAGTCAATCTGCTACCAATTTAATGGTTCGCCAGCAGGCATTAAATGTTGATCTGTCTTTACGCAGAGTGTGGGTGGAAGTCATATCCAGACTCTGCTGCCACATGAGAAAGGGCACATATACCTTATATAAGGCCAACATCAGACCCACATCTGTCTGTCTGCTCAGAGCAGCCAAATGAGAGAAGGCTGGACATTGAAATGAACATGGATCTAGACTTTAGGGTCCATATAAGAACATGCCTCTCTAATTGAAAAAAAAAAGAAAACCATTTACTGGCCCAATGAAATCAGAAGTAGAGATCATATTAGAGATAGACAAAAAATATTTTTTTGAGCTATGTATACCCATATGGAAGAAAAATATATTTGAAATATATTTTAAAAATATTCTTCCCAAATATATTGACATATATTTGAAATGCTACAATTTTGTCCATATTCAATATATTTCAAAATATATTTAAATATATATATACTGCATGTTGAAATGCATTTTTATTACAAAATATATGAAATGTATTTTTAAAAATACATTTCAAATATACTGCATGTCTTTAAAAATACAAATTTACATTTTTGGAATGAATTTACAAATATATGTAAAAATATATGTTAAAATTACTTTTAAATACATGTTAAAAAAATTAAAAAAAAATGTTTTAAATATATTCTTCATATTTTTTTAACATATGAAAAAAGTAATTTTAACATATATTTTTACATATATTTGTAAATGCATTCCTAAAATGTAGATTTGTATTTTTAAAGACATACAGTATATTTGAAATGTATCTTTAAAAATATTTTTCATATATTTTGTAATAAAAACGCATTTCAACATGAAATATATATATATATATATATATATATATATATATATATATATATATATATATATATATCTGTATGTATGGAATTACAAGAGCCTCCTCACATCCCAGGTGAATGAGTAGAGGGGTAATGCCCCGTACCCATACCCACAAATAATCAAATGTAAATGAAAATACACAAACACATTAATTAGTCCTTTAAAGTGGAACTAAGCCCTCTTATCCTTTATAGCCAAGAAAGCTGCCATCTTAGCCTCTCTTTGATCACATTTTTATAGTTAAGTGGCTGGCAAATAACAAAGCCTCCACTATTCACCCATCCAAACCAACTGCCCAAAGTTCAAAGGCTCTTGCCACACATTATGGTAACAAAGCATTCCTCCCAGCTAAAGCTTGCAGTTGAAAGAGTTCAAAGGCTCTCAACATACATTAGGTTAACAAAGCATTTGTTCCAGCTAAATTCTGCATTAGTTAACGGGGACCATGAAGCACAAACAGGCAAGATCTGCCTCAAACCCATGGTAGACCTGAACTGAAACCTCATCCTTAGTGCTGAGAATTATGGTCAAGAGAAACGGGGAAGTAGCTAATTGTATTAATAGTAGGGCTACACATACATAGCTAAATCAATGTTTACAGGGCATTATGAAAAAACTACACTTGCTGTGGGGTCCACCACATTGCAAGGGCAAAATGCCTGTTATGTCTAGAGGTAGAGGAACTAAGTGCAATACTTATCTTATTCCTCACTTCAGAAGCAGGGGCGGACAGACAACTCATGGGGCCCCCGGGCAATAGGGGATCAAGGGGCCCCTGTGTCCTTGCCCAAACTCAAAAAAGCCTATGAAAAAGGTACCAGGGGCATCTCATGGGGCCCCCTACTGACCCCGGGCCATCGGGCAATGCCCGAGTTTCCAAATGGTGAGTCCACCCTTGTTCAGAAGGCTTCCTCGATCTGTCCAAGTGTTCTCCAAAAGCCTCTTCTCTAAGACACTCCAGCTGGTGGTTGCACAATGATGTCATTGAGTACAGTGCAGGTCCAGTAGCCCTGCATTTTACATGAGGATGGTGAAGGATTGCCCACAACCCACTGAAGAGGAGAGTGGTGAAGCCTGTAGGAGCAAGGAGTAAGGTAAGTATTACACCTTACTTCTCTACCTCTAGAACTAACAAGCATTTAACCTTTTGAAGTGTAGGTGGTAGGGTCACTAAAACAGGGTCTTTTTTTTGCAATTCCTGGAGATGGGCTTTATCTGTTTTTCAAGCTGCCTACAGTTAAAATGACCCTGTCACTCTAGGCTCAAATGTAGACCATGTTAAACAAGAGCTTCTATACTTACCGTACCTCTTTGGCAGCTCACTGCAGATATTTGCCACTTCCAGGTGTATCAAATATCAGCTCCCTTTTTCGGCTACATGACATGGTTCCTGTTGCTGCCTTGAATGCCCTTTAGTAATATACAAAGTCAGTAGAAAGAAATACAGCATGCATTGGGAGAAATAGGTATTTACACACTCAGAAGTGTGGAATACTTAAAGAAGCCGAGGAGCTTCAAATTTGAAGACAATGTCCCCCAGAAAGCTGTCACTTGTACCAATACAGTTTTGTAGTCTCATCACATATTCTGTGCTTACTGCATACAGTCCTGTGTATACCAAAACAAAATGGCAAATGTTTTATAGTTGCCAGTATACTGAAAAGATCGTGAAGTTCACACACATCCAGAACACTGCAGTCAGTCACAACTCTATTTGATGCCGAAGATTTCATGCAATTCCCTGCTACAGAAAATGATATGTATCCTACACTTCAGTATTAATAGACCTCACAGGTTAACAGATATATTGTAGAGTAGAAACTCTACTTGTGACAGCAGTAATAAATCCCTGATCTAAAGGATTTATAATTTAAAATCTGGCGGTTGAAATATTGCTCATATTCTAGTCTTATTATCTTTCTCTGCTAATTTTAATGAGAGTTTATGCATTGCACAAATGGGGGTCTCAGTACGATTCAAGCCATTTAATTCACATAAGTACAAATTGAAAGATCTGGTTCCAGTTTTTTTATTATAGTCATTGGCAACCTGATACATTTTGAGTGCAGTCTGTTTGTGGCCTCTAAGTACAGCACATTGTTTAACATAAAAAAAATGAAAGTCACGTTTTATTTTTAAATATTAAACAAAATCATGTTTTAAAATAAAAGCCCTCCAAAGTAATTTTTTACACATCTAATTCTGCCATAACATGACCTTTGTCTTCAGGGTGAAGACCACCTCTTCAGTCCATGTACACCAGGGGTGTCCAAACTTTTTTCAAAGAGGGCCAGATTGGATAAAGTGAACATGGTGGAGGGCCGAACATTTTTCCGAACATTCTTTGAACCATTACAATTAAATGCAAATAAATTATTTTATGCCAAGTTAATTGCAAACGACATACTTTTCATTTCATAACATTAAGATCAACTGACAGCTGAGTTTTCACAATGTATTGAAAATAAATTTAAAAACAACTTACCTGCACTAATGTGAAGGGTGAAAAAGGTAGCTAGAGCTGAAGTCTCTGCTCGGCAGCCGGGAGGGGAAGAGAAACACACTTCACGCTGGAAGCCCGGCCCTGACGTCACCGCCCTCTGTCGCTCCCAGCGCGGCGCAGTCATGCATGCGCACTGCTCTCAAGCAGAAGACTGCCACAGAAGGGAGGGCCGTGCGACAGCCGCATTTACACAGACCAGGGAGAACGCGCCGCAGTCAGGCATGCGCACTGCCCTCTGCTCTCAAGCAGAAGATTGTCTGCCATAGAAGGGAGGGCCGTGGGAGGGCCACATTACACAGAGCAGGGAGGGCTGTTGGAGGGCCGTATTAAACCGACCCCGGGCCGTAAATGGCCCGCGGGCCGGACTTTGGAAATGCCTGATGTACACCATCACTTGGTCTTGTTGGCACCCCTTGTCATGATGTCATCAAGCCACTGTGACCATATGAGGACTGCACTGATGCACAGCTTTTAGAAAATGTCCACATGAAAGCATCTAAAGAAGAACCCTCCTATTCCGCTGTCCAAAAGAAAGAAGATTCTTGGCTGCAGATTCAGATAAATAAATGGAGCATTTTATTTGGGGAAGAGGTGGGTGAAATTTTAGTTTGGGCATGAGTTGCCCAAGATAAATTGTATCTAAGCCCAAAATAGTAATATATTGCAGCTTATCATTCCTTAGATGAACTAGTATTCTTTTTTCAAGCCTTTTCCCTTTATTTTAACTTAGTGATCCTTCCAGTAACACACTTCCTGTCCTAAGGTGACAAAACTCACTCTCTCTCAATGGCGGAGCAGTGTTGTCTCCCTAGACTGCTGTGTTGCTATGGATATTTTTTGGGTGATTTTACAGCATAGATATAAGTGAATAGTTTTATTAAAAAGACCATGTGCTGCTTTAAAAGCTAAGCCTCCCATATTGATATGCTGCTTAACAAGTTCAGTTAGTTTTTGTGGAGTCAGGACTTTAGGAGAAGAAGGAAGCAGTTTGGAAGATCCTGGATCCTTAGACAATGACTCCATCATAAAGAAAGATCCAAGTTAAGTGGCTGTTTAGTAGACTTATTGCGTACATACTGTACATGCCTATTTGCTTTTTTTACTGTAAGCAACTTTAATAGATGCAAGTAAAACAACTGGGGCCTTCTGGTCTTTGAGCATATCTGTTCTTTGTAGTGTTTACTATTACTCTGTACACTGTTTAGGAAAAGTTTCTGGTGTCCAGGAGCAGAAGACGTGCACCATGCTTACCTGTGCCAGAGACAATCAGTGGATGTCTGTTGCAAAGGAGCTTGCTAGCTTCGCTTCTCCTTTGAACAGGGCTTGGGAGAATGGAGTCTCTAATTTTTCCTCAGATTTTAGTCTTAGATGTTTTGGGTTCAGTAAGAAAAAGATGCCTGCAGTTGCTGTGTTTGGTTTGCACTTCCTGCATGCTCTACATACTAAATCTGAAAATAAGGCAGAGGTAGAAAGAAACTTGCTGAAAAAGCATGGTGTGAGGAAGGCTGCCACTCAAACCGCTCAAGGGCTGAGGCCATTTTCATACAGGATTCCATGAGCGGTTAGAGCGGCATCCTTCCTCACACCACGCTTGTAAGACTGGAGACAATTGTGGACACTGCTCCCCCTACATACCGATGAAGTGATCATCTAACTCCAGCTTGGAGTAGCGCCATTACGCCATACAGATCAGCTCGCTGAAAAAGCCGCTTACAGTGGTAACCAAGTGTTTGGAAGACACTGCAAGCAAGTTATGGGGTTTAAAAAGTAGAGAACTCAAAGTCGAACCAGCAGTGGCTTCAAAGTGTGTTCAAACCACTGTAGGCATGGCTGGACATTTGAATGGGCAGTGTGCAGCCCTTATGAACAAGTCTAATGATTCCATAACAAAGAACAAAGGCCATAAGCCTGTAAGTAGGAGTAGGACAAATGCCACTTGTACTTCCCATAAGCTGGAAGCTGGGAACCTGAATAACTCAAATAGAGATAGCTAAGTTTAGTTAGATAAAAGGAAGGCAAGGCCTATGATCTCCAGGAGACACACGTGGACTGATTTACTTAAAGTGGGGGTCCCCAGAGAGGAAATAGATGAGATTCCTACACCAGCATTGCTTAAGAGGTGGAAGCAAGTGGCTGGGACAGTAGATTCAGTCACAGGTGTTTTTGTTGCCATAAACTGGGGCACATTGCTAGAGATTGCCAAGCTGTGAAGATTGGACAACAACAGGCTAGGGTTCCCAGGACAGCGCGGAGAGAAATGCAGGTTTATTCTTTCCACTGGAAATCTATGCCTTTCCGTGTTACAAGGCAGCAGTGGGCACCCTACAGCAGTTTTGCAGTTTGCAATGTGCAGATAGAGAAGTGTGAGGAGTGAACTAAGTTTTCTGCACAATTGGAAGGAACAAATAATCTGCTTTGCCTCTTACTCTTTTAGGGTAATGGACATTCGAGAGTTGGAGGAGGCAGAGCAGATGACCAGGCCAGATGGGATGAGACAGATCAGAAGAGGAGATGAGAGCATGCGTAAGTTGCAGATGAGTTCCTGATGATGGATGAATTGGAGTTGACTTTTATCTGGTCATTTCCTTATGACCAGGAGGAAAAGAGACTTTCATCTGGGGCTTTCTTTCCATCTATGTTAAAAAGACTAGCAAGGACTAACCCTACTGAAAGGAATACTGCAGCTTGCCCAGGGATAAAAACATTGATCGCCCAGAAATTTGAAATTTGTTTCCTCCCGTTTACAATATAGGGGGTTTATATCACTCTTTCCTGGACAAAGGTTTTAAAAGCTGCTGAGAATGCTTAGTTTCAGTTTTTCATATATCATGCTATAAAATCAAGAGGTGGGATGTGTTGCTATGGATATTTTTGGGTGATTTTATAACACAGATATATATATAAATTGTTATATTGTTAAGACCATGTGCTGTTTTAGAAGCTAAGCATCCCCTTAAACAAACCAGCTCGGTTAGTTTTTTTGAAGTCAGGCTACCAGATATGATGTAACAGAAAATGAGGGAGGGGATTAGGACTTTGGAACAAGCCATATGGTAAGACAAAAAGTTGTTCTGAAGACTTGGAAGAAGAAATAGTGTGTTGGAGGACTTTGTAAGAAGCAGGAAGCAGTCTGGAAGATCCTGGATCCTTAGATGATGACTCCATCATAAAGAAAGATCCAAGTTAAGTACTGTAGCTGTTTAGTATTTTTATTATGTACATAATGTACATGCTTATTTGCGAGGAAGATAGTCAGCTTGTGCAGGTTGTAGGCATATTTCATTATACTTTGCATGCTATGAATTGTGTTTTCTGAAGTTGTATGTGCAGTCTTTTCTGTTTAGTAAAGCAAATATTAATACACTACAGAGTTCTAAGCTTCCTTAGCTTTTACCACAAGAACCTTTAATAGATGCAAGCAAAACAACTGCTCTCCTGATTGGGACCATGACACCTCTTTTTCTCCTCTTTTCCATAATGTAGGGTTGATGGGTTCAGTGGTTTACAGAAGCAAACTGG